CCCGCATTAGGTAAAGAATGGAATGTGGAGTGTCGCGGTGTGCAGGTTACAGGAACTAAATGATCTGATATAGATAAATATCTCCACTATGACATTTCTCAACCAGGTTTAAAGATTTTTATTCACTGCTGATCAATCATATTTACCATTCTGGTATGCATAACAGACAGCTGTCTCAAGTTCATTTATCACATTTTAACTTTTCATACAATCATATTGTGTTTATCCAAAAACCAAAAACAAAGGTAAAACACAAACAATTCTACAAACGCACATACTAAACAATGGAGGGTGGGAGGGTGGCAGGGCCAATCCTGGGTGTATGTACATGGTGCACTGTGCCCAGATGGCAGGGAGTTGAGGCAGAAGGGTGGGCCCCAGCCAGGGCCGGACTGGCCCACCGGGATACCAGGAAATTTCCCGGTGGGCCGCAGCACCTGGGGTCTGCGCTGACACATGGGTGCCACCGGGTGGCCGGCCGGTGGCACACTGAGAGGGGGTCGCCCGCATTCCAGACTGGAGCCTCCGGGTCGGGTGGCAGCTTGGCCGGTCCGGCGGGACTCCAGTCACTGATGGCTGAAGGAGGAGGAGCCTGTCTACCATGCTCCCTCATGGTTCCCACAATTCTCAGCACAGGAACCGCGAGGGAGCATGGTAGACAGGCTCCTCCTCGTTCAGCCATCAGTGACTGGAGTCCCGCCAGACCGGCGAAGCTGCCACCCGGCCCGGCGGCTCAAGTCTGGAACGCGGCCGGCCCCGTCTCAGTGTGCCACCGGCCGGCCACCCGGTGGCACCCATGTGTCAGCGCAGCCCCCAGGTGCCGCGGCCCACTGGGAAATTTCCCGGTATCCCGGTGGGCCAGTCCGGCCCTGGTATCAATGAGCTTGTGTGTGTCATTGAGATGTCAGTGAGATTGTCTGTGTCTGCATGTGAGTATGCTTACTGTATAATTAAATGTTTTACTCTGAAAGGACCAATAATTTATATTAGAAAAAGCAATATATATATATATTAACAGGAGTAGTCCCAGAAGATTGAAAGTTAGCGAATGTTGTGCCCATTTACAAGAAAGGTAATAGGGAGGAGTCGGGCAACTATAGGCCAGTAAGCCTTACTTCAGTAGTGGGGAAAGTGATGGAAACCATGTTAAAGGATAGGATTGATGAACATCTAAAAACACATGGATTTCAAGATCAGAGACAACATGGGTTTACTTCAGGGAGATCATGCCAAACTAATCTTATTGATTTTTTTGATTGGGTAACTAAAATTATAGATCAGGGTGGTGCAGTAGACATTGCTTACCTAGTGTAGCGGAGCGGCAATATTAAATCCCACGATCTCCGCTGGTTCAGAAGGTAATCCACAGTCAAGTGCTGAAAAGCAAGGCAATATCCCAAATCTCTCAGTAACCGGACGAAACACAGTTCTGAGAGTCAACTGAAGGCTTTATTCACAGGCTCCACAATTTATACAATTCCCCATGCAAGGGGTTTCCTGAGTCCCATTCCAGGGGTATTCCCAGAGTGAACTACATGGGGAACTTACATTACAGAGCCTTTCCCCCATCAGGCACTGCTGCATGAGAGGGATCCTCCCACTGGAATATACTGTTAAGTGGATTATCCATCTGTGCAGCAGAACCGGCAATTTACTTTAAAATACACCGTTTTTTGACTATTAGGTCTATTTGCACGAATGGACGTTCAGTAGATAGCTGGCGTCTGTGCATATCATTCGTGAGTTTACCGCTCGGATCCCAGCTAAAACAACCGAACGTCGCACGAAAAAACATATTCATTAAAACACACATTCAAAAGACCGATTGATGTATAGGGAATAAAATACCGAACGGCCCGGAACTCCCGAACGGCCTGGAAGTTCAACGGTTTTGCGCCGCCGAGTAGCCGTTTTTAGTACCACGTGCTCGACGACCAAACACCGCTGGGGGAACAAAGGATCCAAGATGGCTGACCGCCGCATGGTCGGTAGCCGAACGACAGCCACCTAGGAGAGCCTCTAATTACTGATTGTTGCAATCGGTTAACAAGCGCCACATGTCTCTAAATGTGTGGGCTATTACAGGGTGGTTATTTCAGTTCACGAACGGCCCGCAAAGGTGCCGTTCATGAAACGAAATGGAATACAGCTGCTTTCGGCAGATAGCCAATACAGGTAATACAAGGTTATACAGCCAGAATACATTACACCTAGGCACACACATATCCCCACAACCATACAGGCAACCCTTAAAGGCACAGTCTCTTTATATTGTCCAAGTGGCTAGGTTTGCCACAATTCTCCCCCAGAACCAAGCCGGCATACACAGTCTGATCCCAACGGATCGGCTTGGGGATGTCCGGAGGAGGGCTCACAGATCACTTCTCAAGGTCTGTTTGTCTAGATAACCCGTCGGCATTACCGTTTTGTTTCCCAGGGCGATAATGAATTGTAAAGTCAAAAGGCTGCAGCGTAACACTCCAGCGCAGCAGCCTGGCAACATGGATTTACTTCAGGGAGATCATGCCAAACTAATCTTATTGATTTTTTTGATTGGGTAACTAAAATTATAGATCGGGGTGGTGCAGTAGACATTGCTTACCTAGATTGCAGTAAGGCTTTTGACACTGTTGCACATAGAAGGCTTATCAATAAACTGCAATCTTTAAGTTTGGATTCCAATATTGTTGAATGGGTAATACAGTGACTGAGTGACAGGCAACAGAGGGTTGTAGTCAATGGAATATAGTAGACTTGTCACCAGTGGGGTACCTCAGGGATCTGTATTTGGACCCATTCTCTTTAATATTTTTATTAGTGATATTGCAGAAGGTCTTGATGGTAAGGTATGTCTTTTTGCTGATGATACTAAGATTTGTAACAGGGTTGATGTTCCAGGAGGGATAAGCCAAATGACAAATGATTTAGGTAAACTAGAAAAATGGTCAGAATTATGGCAACTGACATTTAATGTGGATAAGTGCAAGATAATGCATCTTGGACGTAAAAACCCAAGGGCAGAGTACAGAATATTTGATAGAGTCCTAACCTCAACATATGAGGAAAGGGATTTAGGGGTGATTATTTCTGATGACTTAAAGGTAGGCAGACAATGTAATAGAGCAGCAGGAAATGCTAGCAGAATGCTTGGTTGTATGGGGAGAGGTATTAGCAGTAGAAAAAAGGAAGTGCTCATGCCATTGTACAGAACACTGGTGAGACCTCACTTGGAGTATTGTACACAGTACTGGAGACCGTATCTTCAGAAGGATATTGATACCTTAGAGAGGGTTCAGAGAAGGGCTACTAAACTGGTTCATGGATTGCGGGATAAAACTTACCAGGAAAGGTTAAAGGATCTTAACATGTATAGCTTGGAGGAAAGACGAGACAGGGGGGATATGATAGAAACATTTAAATATATAAAGGGAATCAACACAGTAAAGGAGGAGACTATATTTAAAAGAAGAAAAACTACCACAACAAGAGGACATAGTCTTAAATTAGAGGGACAAAGGTTTAAAAATAATATCAGGAAGTATTACTTTACTGAGAGGGTAGTGGATGCATGGAATAGCCTTCCAGCTGAAGTGGTAGAGGTTAACACAGTAAAGGAGTTTAAGCATGCATGGGATAGGCATAAGGCTATCCTAACTATAAGATAAGACTAGGGACTAATGAAAGTATTTAGAAAATTGGGCAGACTAGATGAGCCGAATGGTTCTTATCTGCCGTCACATTCTATGTTTATATATGTATATATATATATATATATATATATATATTACTCAATCATCTGTCATGGCAAGACATAGCCTTACATATTACCCACGAATATATGGCGCAGTGACTTATGGGACTGGCCTAAAATTTTTTTCCAGCGCTGCTTTGTATCCCCAGTCCAGCCCTGGCTGCCTCTAGCCTCCTTCTCCCTCTTGCACGGCTGTCTTTTTAGCTGGGAGGAAGTGACAACATATCACTTCCTCCCAGCCAGCAGATACTGCAGGGGCCCAGACAGGATGTGAAAACGGCAGCGGGCCCCTGTTATAATACTTATCGGGTGGGTAATCAGTAGGGGGAATTTATGTGGGCATTTATCATATATAATATCCTGGAGATCAAACACACACAATCTGACATATATTGTATACTGTGTGTGTGTGTGATTTCCGGGATATTACATATAGTATTGTTGTGCTATTTGGTGCCCCATAATTTTTAATATTAAAAGAAAACAATATGGATTCTGGTGAGCTTGGCCTGGACATTACGTAATACTGTTTCAACACAGGTCAAAGGAACTTTGTATTTTGTAACCTTAAGAAGTAAACAGGAGGAATACTTATCTACAGTTTAATTTGTGAGCTGTGTACAAGATCCTTGCTGATAAGATTAGAGATGAGACAAAGTGTAATGTTGACTCCTAGGCTTGTCAAGTAAACTAATTGACTTGTTGACATAAACTCATATATAATATAGCAAATTGATTGTAATTGTATTGTTTTGTTGCTTTGCATTTTATAGTGTGTATTATTAAATGTATATATATTTTAAGCAAAGTCTGTTTATTGGCCATCTGCCGTTCATAAGTGTTTATATCACCGCTTAAAACAAAGAACTACAGGGTCCCTGAAGGCTCTATGTGTGTGTGTGAATATCATCAGATATTATTCAATCAATATTCCATACATATAAAACCTTAGATTACCCAACAGTATGCGGGTGTCAAGGAGCCGCATTATACATGCGGGAGTCTCCCGTTGTTACATTGTTATTCTTTTGAAGTTGTTATATTAAAGATAGAGTAACAGATAATGTTACAAAAGATACCCCTTCTGCCTGTACACATTCAAGGAATGGTACCTTCTCTCATTAATTGATGTATTGGGCTTCCATATGCACAAGAAACTAATTTTCTTATAAATAAACCAATTAATTTCTATTTCAAGACTTTAGAAAATCCTCTTTTTTATTATATGTTTCACCCTCTCTAGGAGATCATGACGGATTGCCGTATTCGATTGTACCAGGAGTCAGACTATGGGATGGTCAGAGAGGTGTATGCTCAGTGCGTGAAGGATCTAACCCCAGACGGATTCTATCAAGCCTTGCGATTCTCCCATATCAGACTGTTCATGCTGGCCATTTTCCTGCTGTCGTTGTTAACCACTGGATCATTCCTTGTGTCTGTCTTGGGTATTATCTTGGTGATGGTTGTCCTCTGGATGTGCAGTAGAGAGTTTTTCCATTCCTACGTCCATGTTACATTCTCAAATGACATGTTTGATATTGGGAAATATTATTTGCAGAGGGAAGGTTATGGGTTTTGGGTGGCTGAGTGTGGGGGGAAAGTTGTGGGCACTGTGGCTGCTGCTCCATTAACACATGTTGGCGGGAAGAAGCATGTGGAGCTCAGAAGAATGGCGGTGATTAAGAGTCACCGGGGTAGAGGGATTGCCAAAGCCTTATGCAAGACAATTATTGACTTTGCTCGGAAGAAAGGTTTCCAAGCTGTTATCTTGGAGACCTCAATAGCTCAAGTTGGTGGCCAGCGAGTGTATGAAAGCATGGGTTTCCGGATAACACACATTTTCGATTACCCAAAAATGACAGCAAAAGTGATGGGCAATAAGTTCTTAGGTTACCAGTATGATATCCTGGAAGCTGAATGAATACACCAAGGATGTAGCATGTCCATTATTGTTTTCCGATAGAACTATCTAATTAACTCATTTAGATCCAGTCTTATAACGGTTTATATACAATGTAAGAATCACAATATATTTTATTACAATTAATTGTTTGTCTTATTTACCTATTGTACAGAGCTACGTAATATGTTGGTGCTATATATGTCATTATATGGAGAAGGAAATACATAAGGAAAAAACAAACGTTCATTTAATGGGAGGGTGCATTTTAGTCAATTTATTAGGAGGCCAAACAACAAAGTTACTCAGCAAAATCTATTGTGTTTGGTTAGATTATTTTTATTATTATTCATGTTATTTAGTATTAATATTATTATTATTCATGTTATATAGTATTAATGTTATTATTATTATTATTATAAATATTATTCAACCACTTTTTCCGAATGCCTATAAAAACAAAGGGCTATATAAAAATGTTTGAAATTTGGCAGAATTATAGAGACTAACTGAGCCTGATTTGTGCTAGAATGAAAGTTTTACTGGAGGAGTAGACAAAGTTATAAAGAATTTATATAGCGCCCACTTATTCCGCTCAGGCAGTCCCCCTGCAGGCACTCTATAAGCCGGCTATTCCGGCCATGTGATCAAAGCAACTGTGAGCAACGTGAACCAAGAAAGAAGTGAAAGATCGATGGTTTTGTGATTTTGGCATCATGGAGGTATAACTAAATGTATAACAGTAATCCCAAATATTGTGCCAAAAAGTCAAAATAATGTTTGAAACATTATGAAACAATTATCGGTTGAAACTTACTGACAAAAAAAACCCAATTAATAATAATTCTCGGTTCTGTTTGAAAACTGCAGTAAGTGATCACTTTACGTTTACTGCAAAGTATGAAGTCACATCATTATTGGAAAACATTCGTAATGCATTCGGGTAAGGCACAAAGAAACAGCACGTGAAACCACATTGAGGAGTTTGTTTTATTTTGTTAACATTAGAATAGAATTTGTGTCTTCTTTTATGCAGATTGTCTTTAATTCAACCCACTAACATCAATAAAGTTATTTTAACCCTTGAATAGATTTTTTTGACATGTTTAATATTAATGTGTTCAGTTTATAATAAATTCTGCTACCTTTCAATTCAAATGTCTCATAATGTATTTCACTTTACATTCTCATCGGTTATTCAAATCTTTAAATGTATCTTCTTTAACCAATCATCTTGCTCGGTGTCTCTCCTGGGTAAAAATCAACAATATGATTACCATTTGATGTCTTAATATATATTTTACTTTCTATACCAATTATAATGTGCTGGAAATATGAGCAAAGGGAAACTGAGACATTAATACAATTAGAATTATCAAAAAATGTTAATCTAGAGTAACCCCAGAGCAAGGCTATGTATCCAATTTCACATTACAGATCCATTAATACAAACATGGAGCTCCGTCGATAGCTTAAAAAATATCGGCTGTCTATGTATTAGGGATGTGAATGGGCAAAAAATTTGATTCGGCACTTCCGAAATCCGAGACTTCTGCAATTTGAGACTTCGGCTCTATGGTTCGGCACTTCCAAAATTCGAGACTTCTGCAATTTGAGACTTCGGCACTATGGTTAGGCACTTCCGAAATTCGGGACTTCAGCACTTCAGTTCGGTACTTATGAAATTCAAGACTTCGGGCAATTCAGGACTACAAAAAAAGTGTAAATGCCTAAAAAATGTCCTAGCACTTAAAGAGAAAATCAGATTATATGGCACCAAAAAGCAAAAAGAAACCTCATGGGTGCAAAGGCTGGTCAGGGGACAAGCACTGGGAAAGAATAGCTCCTACTCTTACCTCAGAAGCATCTACTTCCAATACAAAATGAAGTGACGGGTCAGGATGTCTGAGGATAGGGGCGGAAACAAAAGCTTTTTTCAGGCTTCAAAGGCTTTCCTTGCCTCAGGGGGGCAAACATAGTGGTTCATGAATGTATGAAGTCTTCAAGGACGTCATTTATGAAATCTTGGAAAACCGCCGGAGCATTATATAGGCCGAAAGGCATGACTACATATTCATAATGCCCACATCTGGTGTGACAGGCTGTTTTCCATTCATGCCCCTCTTCTATGCATATTAGCTTGTATGCACCCCTCAGATGCAGCTTGGTAAAGATTGTAGCGAATAACGTTTGGCTGTCCATCACTTTTCATATTTGCAACATTATTCACTATGGTTTTGGCATATATACAATGTATTTCCTAAGCATTCGTCTGGTTGTTCGGTAAAAACACAAAAGAGACAAAGTTGCGTACCTCCGTTCGACATACGAAAAAACTACCAAACAACCAGACCACCCCAGAGAGAAGTGTGACTCTAATTTACCCATTACATCGTTCTTCACACCACCCTAATTGCTAACTACACAAATGCACTGTGTATTCTCTGGGTGGGCGCCGTTGGAAATGCGAACACGTGGCGGCGGCCATCTTGCCATACGAACGCCCAGCGGTGTTTGGTCGTCGAGTGTCTGGAACCCAAATCGGACACTCGACCACGCAAACACAGCAGAGAACAGGCCGGCGTTCAGACACATTACTGGGAGCATTATTGCTGTGGAGATCTGTTATACACTCAGACACATTACTGGGAGTATTATTGCTGTGGAGCTCTGTTACACACTCAGACACATTACAGGGAGTATTAATACTGTGGAGCTCTGCTATCCACTCAGACACATTACTGGGAGTATTATTGCTGTGGAGCTCTGTTATACACTCAGACACATTACTGGGAGTATTATTGCTATGGAGCTCAATTATACATTCAGACACATTAATGGGAGTATTATTGATGTGGAGCTCTGTTATACACTCAGACACATTACTGGGAGCATTATTGCTGTGGAGATCTGTTATACACTCAGACACATTACTGGGATTATTATTGATGTGAAGCTCTGTTATACACTCAGACACATTACTGGGAGTATTATTACTGTGGAGCTCTGTTATACACTCAGACACATTACTGGGAGTATTATTACTGTGGAGCTCTGTTATACACTCAGACACATTACTGGGAGTATTATTGCTGTGAGGATCTGTTATACACTCAGACACATTACTGTTGAGTATTATTGCTGTGGAGCTCTGTTATACACTCAGATACATTACTGGTAGTATTATTGCTGTGGAGCTCTGTTATACACTCAGACACGTTACTGGGAGTATTATTACTGTGGAGCTCTGTTATACACTCAGACACATTACTGGGAGTATTATTGCTGTGGAGCTCTGTTACACACTCAGACACGTTACTGGGAGTATTATTGATGTGGAGCTCTGTTATACACTCAGACACATTACTGGGAGCATTATTGCTGTGGAGCTCTGTTATACACCCAGACACATTACAGGGAGTATTATTGCTGTGGGGCTGTGTTATACGCTAAGACACATTACTGGGAGTATTATTGCTGTGGAGCTCTGTTATACACTCAGACACATTACTGGTAGTATTGTTACTGTGGAGCTCTGTTATACACTCAGACACATTACTGGGAGTATTATTGCTGTTGAGCTCTGTTATACACTCAGACACATTACTGGGAGTATTATTGCTGTGGAGCTCTGTTATACACTCAGACACATTACTGGGAGTATTATTGCTGTGGAGCTCTGTTATACACTCAGCACATTACTGGGAGTATTATTACTGCGGAGCTCTGTTATACACCAGACACATTACTGGGAGTATTATTGCTGTGGAGCTCTGTTATACACTCAGACACATTACTGGGAGTATTATTGCTGTGGAGATCTGTTATACACTCAGACACATTACCGGGAGTATTATTGCTGTGGAGATCTGTTATACAGGGAGTGCAGAATTATTAGGCACATGAGTATTTTGACCACATCATCCTCTTTATGCATGTTGTCTTACTCCAAGCTGTATAGGCTCGAGAGCCTACTACCAATTAAGCATATTAGGTGATGTGCATCTCTGTAATGAGAAGGGGTGTGGTCTAATGACATCAACACCCTATATCAGGTGTGCATAATTATTAGGCAACTTCCTTTCCTTTGGCAAAATGGGTCAAAGAAGGACTTGACAGGCTCAGAAAAGTCAAAAATAGTGAGATATCTTGCAGAGGGATGCAGCACTCTTAAAATTGTAAAGCTTCTGAAGCGTGATCATCGAACAATCAAGCGTTTCATTCAAAATAGTCAACAGGGTCGCAAGAAGCGTGTGGAAAAACCAAGGCGCAAAATAACTGCCCATGAACTGAGAAAAGTCAAGCGTGCAGCTGCCACGATGCCACTTGCCACCAGTTTGGCCATATATATTTCAGAGCTGCAACATCACTGGAGTGCCCAAAAGCACAAGGTGTGCAATACTCAGAGACATGGCCAAGGTAAGAAAGGCTGAAAGGCGACCACCACTGAACAAGACACACAAGCTGAAACGTCAAGACTGGGCCAAGAAATATCTCAAGACTGATTTTTCTAAGGTTTTATGGACTGATGAAATGAGTGAGTCTTGATGGGCCAGATGGATGGGCCCGTGGCTGCATTGGTAAAGGGCAGAGAGCTCCAGTCCGACTCAGACGCCAGCAAGGTGGAGGTGGAGTACTGGTTTGGGCTGGTATCATCAAAGATGAGCTTGTGGGGCCTTTTCGGGTTGAGGATGGAGTCAAGCTCAGCTCCCAGTCCTACTGCCAGTTCCTGGAAGACACCTTCTTCAAGCAGTGGTACAGGAAGAAGTCTGCATCCTTCAAGAAAAACATGATTTTCATGCAGGACAATGCTCCATCACACGCGTCCAAGTACTCCACAGCGTGGCTGGCAAGAAAGGGTATCTAATGACATGGCCTCCTTGTTCACCTGATCTGAACCCCATTGAGAACCTGTGGTCCATCATCAAATGTGAGATTTACAAGGAGGGAAAACAGTACACCTCTCTGAACAGTGTCTGGGAGGCTGTGGTTGCTGCTGCACGCAATGTTGATGGTGAACA